AATTTTACATACATTCATTCTACAGCTTATTTTAACGCGCACATACATAAACTTTTATCAAATTCCTCTAACAAATGGATCGGTATAGCGTGATGATCAATATCGAGGATCCTCAAGGTAACACACAATCTTCAGTCATCGTCAAATTGATTCCGGAAAGTAGCTGTCAACAACTAGTAGACCAAATTTGGGATTTGGCTGAAAGACAGTCACGTGGGGAGAGCAAGAAAAATTATGATCAAGGCAGATGGCTTGTGGGGAAATTTAACTGATGTTTACTCTTAATATATTATGTCAAAGTTTTCTTATAAAAATCACTTTCTCGTGTCTTAATAAACTTGTAGCTTTTCCTAGTTAAGAAAACAGAGAATAACCCTGAATCGATTGTTGAATATCTGATGCAGAATGTTCGGCAACAGAATATAAGGGTAGGAAAAGAAATAAGGTGTTTGCTTACCAGAGTATATCATATTTATTAGGCTTTCTCTGAGCGGCGGTGAAGTCTCACAGATCGAGGCCACCACGGGCCATGTTTGTTTTTTTGCCCAACACACGATTGGCGCACCATCGATGTGAATCATCAGGGTAACCGGACATTTTTCCATCGTATACAGAAACTGAGAACAAGTTTGTTTATCTTCGTATCTTTAATGGTAAAGGAGGCCTGATCAGGTAAGAAATTTTCTTGAAATAGATTTGTTTGTTTTCAATCAGAAACGCGTCAGAGTGATGTCTGGATGATCTTTCGTAAATCAGTTTCTTAAATTTTGAATTGTTTTTGCAATTGCTGTAGTATCGTTACGAAAAATGAGAGATCACATTTTCATAGTTCATCTAATCGTAGTTGACCACATGTAGTTAATTAAAATTGAAATCTCTTTCTATCTATGGCAAGACTGTATATGGCAAGAGGAAACAGTGACTCACCGTATTTTTATTACCGAATCTCTTCATTATTTCTCAACAGTTGTTTAAGTTTCTCAACCTTCTTTAGATCAAAGTAGACAAGTCTTTTGTGCAAATATCGCACGCAGCTGAAGATCTTTGAATGACTTAAACATGTGTCATTGAGTTCTAGAACCACAAGAAAGATCTACTCCTTCAGCCAGGTCTCGGACATGTAGAAGCGAACGTGTGTCGCTCGCTTATACTTTCCATTTGGAACATATTTAGACAGAAACCGATGCACTCCTACATCTACTATACTCAACATTTTTGTACTATTCACGGCATTGAAAGAATAAGGCTTTAATCCTTCTTCCCTTCTATTGATTCTTCAATCATTCATCATCTTAAATATATTCTTATTTATAATATTTACTTTTGATAATAACAAATATATGTGTGATGACTTAAATAATACAAAGAAATTACATGTATATAAGTCATGGCACTTCCTATATTATATGTACTAAGAAGATATGTATTGGTCCTTCTTTGTCTTTTCTCGAGAAGCAAAAGTATTTAAATCGGTGACTGTGCATGATATTCAAATGTAAATCCAACTTGTTCACGGTTCAGTTAACTAACGTTCATCAAACTTTTATTACGCGTCCATACAGGAACCGTATAGAAAAAGTGTGATAAAAGCTACCAACTCTAATAATACACATAAATATGTGATTCTTTTGTAGCTATTTCTAAAGGATTCTGCACCATTAAACATGTTCCAACAAATGTCTGTATTAGTAGTGATAACGATTTATTCGTTTCTATAGGGTGGTAAGTGAAGCGTGCGCCCTCTTTTACACCAGTCAAACCGTTCCATCTTATTTGTCTAATGATGTAGCAACAATGATAACGCACGCAACAGTCAAAGTTCTCTCATCGTCTTCATCGACATCTAGCATCAACTTACAGGAACTTTATGCAAAATATCCAGATGGGTCTTTTCAAACTCCTCCCAGTACTAATTTAGCGTTCGACTCAGTTTTCACCCCTGGCTCCGAATATCGTATTTTTATTGCATAAAAATGAGTTCAAATAGTGCCTGACCTGTCCAAGCGTAACGGACGGAAGATGAGGCACTTAGAGACAAATGTTTCAATGACAGTAAAGACTACTGAGTTGAAATGTTCTTCTGTGGTGGTATACCAGAGTTCTATCTCTGGTAAAAATTCCAACTCATCCAGTGCATAACTCTCCGAGCAGCGAGAAAAATGGTGCTTTCGTAACAGACTGAAAAAATAAAAATGAATTAGCAAGGCTTGCAGAAATGTCTTCGTTGCTCTGAAAGTAGAGGTGTGAGCAAATAATAGTTCACATAAAAAATGTAGAGAATTACTTGAGCTATCGAACTTTCGAAGTTTTACATATTTGCCTACTTGTGAATTTTTTCACATAAAAAGTGTACCACGTTCCGGATAGAGCACGATGTATCTTGCTTATTTTTCATCGAATCATATAGAACATACACAAAAACCAAAATTTTCAACAACTGCTTGATAGATACAAAAAACACGAGAGACATTCATAATACATCACAAAACGGGCGTATTTTCTCGTTTCCGTCTGTTACGAAAAACTGGGTATTTTATTTCCCTCTCTAACTCACGTTTTTATTGACGAATTATATCATGTGAAAGTGCGTTCGACAGGCTACCTAACGGTGGTATTTTTTAGTGGAAATAAGTAGAACTGTTGATGGAAAACTTCGTAACAGACGGAAACGGAGCCCATCATCGAAAATTTCAAGACTGAAATTTTATTCAACGGCTTGATGAAAAGTAAAGAGTAAATAGCGGATTTTGTAGGGTTCGATGAGTTCTACTCGGGTCCATCAAGAATGGACTTGTATCCAGCGAGAAGGCGAATCGTGGCACAAATTATTTGATATTTCTTCATTGTACAATGAAAATCACGAAGAAAAATCATATAATTTCTGCCACGATTTTTTATCTTACTGCCAGTTTTAGTTTTTATCTGAACCTGTAAAGCACAAAAACATAAACAGGACATTTTCTGTTTTTCGATCGCCTATAAAAAAGGTGCTGTGGTTAGTATGTGCTACACCTTCTGTCAACCAGAGATAGAGATGCACATACTCTATATTCAGTTTGGCATCCAACTCACCGTCATTGGACGTCTCGATGTGGGAAACGGACTAAGCATTATACAACTGAAAGAAACTCAACCAATGCGACCATTATCGTTCATTCCAGGTAGGCGTCCAATGACGGTGAGTCGGATGCCAAACTGAATACAGAGTATGTGCATCTCTATCTCTGATTGACAGAAAGTGTAGCATATACTAGCCACAGCACCTTTTTTACAGGCGATCGAAAAACAGAAAATGCCTTGCCTATGTCTTTGTGTTTTACAAGTTCAGATGTTTGAAGCGGCCAGAGAGTGACACATTTTGAGTATTGTTTTCTTGTCAAACCAATATATCAGCAATATCAAATATCTGATAAAAAATCAGTTGTTTCAATTTTGGGGTTCATTTATGCCAAACACCAAACTAAACACTTAGCAATCAACCTGAAATTGTTGAAACTAATGTGTAAAATCCGTCAGATGTAGTTAGTTAATAAAATGAAACATGTTTGTAAATAATTACATTTTAATGTTGGTTGTAATGAAGCAGCAATCAAATAACAACTGAAGTAAAATCCTGATATTCTATAATCAACACAAAAATATTAACAGTTGATAATGTATCAATATTAAATGCTGTCGGGAAAATCTATGAAAGTATTATTCACAGGCATCTCACAGAATGGATGATTCGGTCGAAAATCATTCCCGAGGATCAGTGTGGTTTTCAGCAAAATGTGCGTTTACAAACACGAGTGCTATCATAGTATGAAGAAGCACGCATTTCAAAAGCATCCAGCAGACCTGAATTGGTTCTTTGTATTGATTTTGTAAGTGCTTTCGATCGAATATGGCATATGGGCTTGCTCGTTAAACTATTCCGATTAGGCATGCCGGAGCACTTATGGTTATGGGTTAGAAATTGGTTAAAGGGACGATCAGGCTATATTGCATTTGCCGAACTCGAATCTGTAAAATCCGATATTAAATACGGTCTGGCTCAAGGAACTGGATTCACTAGCTCTGCTATCTTCATAAAAAACCTATAAGTTAAGGACGTTTTGTGCGAAAATTGTGACCATAAGATTGTAAGAGTTGTGCTTGTAACTGATACGACTCGATCGCCACCATTGACTAGTGAAATTCATAACTACTCTGCTACTAACGGGAAACTACTTTCCTCACGAATTAGTAACACTGTTTAATACTGTTGCAATTCTCTTCTACAACTCAACCTATGTGAATGAGCAAGTAATAGCATTAAAAAATTGTGTAATTGGTGTAGTAGATAATCTAAGAAAACAGCGAGAAAGATTTATAATGTCCGCAGAAACACAATGGTAAATCTTCTCTAGTTTAGAATGCTCAAAACCATTGATTTCTATTTTTTATCTATCAAAGGTGTTATTCAATAAAAAAGCAATCGATTCCAATATCAATTTATCAATAGACTCTCCAATTTTGCGATCCTTTGGATTATACTAAAGACGAATTCTGGATCTTCTCGGAAGGTTTACAAAAGTAAATATAGACTCTGATAGCCCGTGAAATTCTCTATCATTCTATGTATTTATATCTTGGCTTGCATTTATCTGCCAAAGAATAATTCGAATATTATTTAGGCACCCTAATTTCCAAACCTAAATAACCAGACTTTTTGCTATCTCTTTCGTTTTTATTTCAGATTTATTATCACTATAGAAATAACTTTTTGCACACGCAGTTACCTGTTCGATAAATATTGGTTTTTTTTACTAAAATGAAAAAAAAAATCTTTTATTTGCTTGCATATACCCGAAGATAATATAAAGGTAATCATGTGTTCTTTTTATTATTTTGTTGCACGAAAAGAAAAAAATATATAAATGTAGAACTTGTTTTCAGAAGAAAAAAAACGTTTTCAATTTGCATAAACGTTCACTGGTATGGCAGAAGGATGTTCAGCACCGAACAATAGATGTAAAATGTGTGAGAATGGCGTAACCATATGTGGTGGATGTATAAAACAATTTTGTGATAAGCATTATCAAGAACACAGACAACAGTTAGCTCTTGAATTAGACCATATTATCTACGATCATGATATGTTACGACAACATTTATTTGCGATTCCCTCAACATTAAATCAAAATAAACAAGATATTCTTCGTACTATAGATGAATGGCAGGAAGAAACAATTGAAAAAATTAAACAAGCTGCAAATAATGCAAGAGAAAAAGTACATCAATTAGTATATGAAAATGAAAAAATTAAACAAACTTTTCAGTCAATTACGAATGATATTCGAGTAAAAAGTTTATCAAACATTTATGCTGAACAAGATTTGGAACGATGGAAACAGCAATTAAAGCAGTACAATAGTCAAAATTTCACTAAACCAGTACTATTCATCAAAACAATTAATACAGATTGGACGACATTAATTAAAGTTGAGAAAGACAAAAGTAACCGATATGAGCAGTCGATCATTGAAATCATTCGTTTAAAAGCAATTAAACCTCGAGTAGTTATTGATATCGCAGATGGTTCATGGAGTGCACTTGGTTCGTCGCCAAAATTCTTTATTCATTATCGACATAATTCAAAAACAAGTCTGTGTTTGATTACTGAACAAGGTAAACAAATATCAATATCATGGGACAACGAACAATGTAGAGATCTTTGTTGGTCGACACATTTAAATCGTTTTCTCATACTTACACCACATAGAATATATACATTGAATGAACAAACACATCGAATTCAACAGCTATCATTAACAACAAAAGATATAGAATATCGAAGTTGTACATGTTCAGATCAAACCATATTAATTACTTACTATGGTCATGGGAAACATATCGAAGAATATATTATTGAAGAAAAAGGAGATTGGAAATTGTTAAATCAATGGCCGATGAAAGTGAATGAATTTGCTCGCCATATTCGATTTTCACACAATAATAAAAACATTGTCGGTTTAATGATTTCAGATACACAAAATAATTGGCATTTTGAACTGCGTAGTCGAACAATGGAACTTCTTCAGAGTATTCCATTAGATAACAGCCCTTATTATCGATTTGTTCTACCATGTTTTACTAGCGAATGGTTAATAACTCATAATCAAGCAAATATATTAAGTATAATTGATCAACATGCCAAAACAAAACAAACGCTTGAATTTCATGAGAAGATACGTAATACAGCGTTTGTAGATCAATACAATTGTTTACTGATTTATACATGCAACAATCAACTGCAAATTTATGATCTATAATCTACAGATTCATTTGGAATCCGGTAATTAAACTTTTGCAAATTAGTATTTATCTTTGAAGACAGATGAGCCATTAATTTTTAACTATTATAGACTTCATCGGACAAAGTTCAAGTTATTATAGAAATCAAATACTGGAAAGTAGAGGTTCTTTTTAGAAAAAGTTCATCACCTAGAAACACAAAGGAATGTATTGATGTCTTGTAAATATAATCCTACTGCACGCTCACAATATCGTTGCAAGCTTTATTCTCATGACTTTGGCATACTGAGTTGTGCATGATTTCAAATGAGCTTACTATGTCTGTAATACAGGGCGTACTGTAAAAATGTTATGAAACTTTGCCTCAGTTTATACGTGATTTCACCTACGAAAACTTAAAAAGATTAATGTTTCACTCGTAACCTATTGATTGTTTTCAATCAGAATATGAAAAAGTACACTTGATTTCTCATAAAATGGGAAAAGCTTGATTTTGATGACAGATAAAAATCGGCTTGTCTCATGATGCAGTGATTCTGTTAACGTCTTTGAGTCGTAAATGTCATCTTAAGATCTTGCTAATCTGAGAATTTCATTTTATTCGTTTCAAGCCGTGGCTTGCACCGCTTTTCAATAACCGAGTTAGACTAAATGTTATAAATAATAAAAATGCTTTAATTTAAATAAGAAGTTTCACGTCAGTATTATTTGCGAATATTTGTTTGATTTTATTTCCTTCATTGTTCGTAAATTTGTTATTTCTCAACTACTGACCTCGTTCGATATCGAAGAAAGTCGATTTTCACAGAGATTTAGTATTTCTAAACATTGCAGAGCTGATATGCTGCTTTGTATTTGTTTCATTCGGCATCTGAATATTATCAACACAGTTAGCCTTGTTAAACTACTTATTAATGCGGTGCGAAGCATACCGTACTCTAGTAATCAACTGTGTCATACTGGCATTTTTAAAACAGAGTGTTCGCATATCATGTGATTCACTTTATGACCATGCTCTATATGTATTCAACGAATAGCTAACGCAGTCACTAGCCACTAGACGCCTTACTGTGTTACAGATAATTAACGCAGTGTATATGATAAAATCTCTAGGTTATGATAAAGGTTATAGCATAGTTTCAAGAGAGAGCATAATTAATGGTAGAACCTTTGTTTAACAAGGAAATTAATCAATTTCGATTTTCACTCTCTCTGGTGTTGTATTCAAGTCAAGATAAAGAATTCAAGCTCTCTACTCTTTCTGAATTTCTCTAAAATTTACACAAATACCCTTTCTTCTTTCATTCTATCAGGAATGCCAAGTCAGAGCTATTCTTAGACATAACTCATCGAATTCGATTAAGTCAGGTATCTCACTAGGTTCGAGGTACACAGAGAAAGTCGCCGTGAAAGTTTGACCAGAACAACTCGGCTTTCTCTGATAAATCGAGGAACCCACTATGACAGTTTGCTATTAAGCAACCGGGTTTCTCACAACTTTGGAAAAGTCACCTCGATGTGCACGTACAAAGTTCTACGTTTGCTCATAAAAAAAGGCGAAATTGAAGAAGTTTTCAATAACACAAATATGCGTGATAAATTTGAAATATGACAAAAAACAAATCACTTGCAACTAAAGCTAGACAAAGACGTGTGGCCGTGATTCCACAAAGCTACACCTATTCAAATTTTAATGCTAATTATGCATGCCGTGCGCATTTTTCTGAATGAACGCGTGGAAAAGTCCATTGCAGCACGATTGCCACCCAGTCGGGGATAAACATTTTACAAATTCATTCCAGTTAATGCTATTTCAGTTGTAACAGACAGAAGGGCAGGTCTACTGAGTTCTCTGTTACCGTATCCTTCATTCTCTTGATCCTGCTTCGCACCGCATTCGCAACTCACGCTAGCGTGATTGCCGTCTAGTTTCTTTCGGTAAATAACCGTTGAAATGACGGGTATGCTACATACGTAATGTTATTAAATTTGTTAACTGTCAGATTTCTTTTGGTAGCACTTTGAGTTCATCATTCCATTCAATGGCTAACTGTTCTAATGGTATCAGTTTTTCAATTTTTACAACAATTGGTATATAAATATAGAAGACGTTGGTTGCTGTTCCTCATGCATCCACAAACGCCTGACTTGTCCACTTAAATTCATTTCTGCATTCATTTCACGACCAACGAGCTCTAAGTTAATTTTCACATCAAATCGAAACATTTTGGGAATATCCAATCACTTTGTTGAGACAATAGTCTTATTTCATAGCAAATCGGGCTGTTTTTCAGCGGGGTGGTTTGAGAAGAAACGGTACAGATATTCTGATTCGTTATTTTGCGTAGAGTCCTAATCTGAAGTCCGCTTTTTGGTACAAAGTCTGCTTTTCGAGCAATAAGCAAAAAACTGGTTTTGCGTGGAAATTCCTGCTTTTTCTCCACTTTCGCCATTTTTTTTTCGTTCTGTTATATTGATGTATCTTTTTTTCTTCGAATGTTTCTTTGATCAGAGTGTTACGCTAAGGAAGAAACAGAATGGAAGAGAGAATAGTTTAATCTTATGTACAAGTATAACACATTCATGCCCGAATGTACACCGATGTGTTTTTGCTCTTATTTTACACGGGAAACCGGAGTTATATCCAAAGCAATAGAAAATGAAACAGATTTATACCTGTCGTTTTTTGAGAGTGACAACTATATTTGATTGCGAATAATGACTTGGAAGTTTTTTACTATGGGCCATAACTTAAGCAAACAGTAGTGAATTAGTCTGCATAAAATTCTCGATATCTTTTGCAGCTTAACATATCAGTACTTTGTATTTGTGCCATTATGTGTGTGAAAACGATATGTTTTATTCTGATGCTTAGCTGGCGAATGTTGTGAATATTTATAATGTCGTACTTTCCTTCCTGCGATACATTGCAATCCAAACAAACCGTATACACACGAAGTATAAACGTGTTTTTCTATGCTTCTTTCCGGAT